TCACAATACTGTGTCCTACCCCAGAAACATCTCCCAGCTAAAGAAAGTGCATCGACTGTGTTGTCTGTTGTGTTTTCTCTACTTCAGGCCACAGGCTCTGACACTTCTCTGGTGCTGGGGGAAGGGGCAGAGGGTGTCCAAAGCCCGCCTCAGAGAGCCTTCGGAAAGGTGGAGACATCCCGCTGAGACACCTGTGAGACGTGAACCAAACCCAGCCGTGGGGGCCATTGCTGCTCCGTCTCACCTACCATGTAGTTACCGATAAAGGCTCCCTCTAAAGTGGGCCTTTGGAAGCCAGAAGTGCGTGCAGTTCTCCAACAGAAAGCTCCCAGGGGAGGCCCGAGCAGTGCGCTTCTCTCTGTGAGCCTGTGTGTTTCAGTCCTACTTCTTTTGTTTGCCCCAGAGTTTAATTTGCTGCTTATTGTCATCTAAGTTATACAAAGTGCTTACAGTGGGATAAATATGTAAACAGGTACTTCAGCTGCTGAAGGTCCCTGCGCAGCCTAAGTAACCGGCGAGCCCGTGAAGCGGTGCTGAGTGAGACACCAGCCAGCCTGCCCGCCGAGCGCGGACCGCCGGGCCCGGGCTGCTTTACAAAGCAGCTGGGGGGAGCAGTGAATTTGTTCTTCACAGAGACCGGTCATATAGGTTTGTCCTAAATGATAGGAGTTGGCCAGCGGTTTCCTCAGAGCAACCTTGGGATTTCCAGAAGCATAAGCAAGCAATGACCCCGGCAGAGGGAGTCCTGCAAAGTGAGCTAAATTCAGCTTTGTCTGTGCGACTCCACTGGTTTTGTCTGCTCACAGAATTCTCAAGGCTGCTCTCCACTTGTTTTAATTTTAACAAAACCCTCACAATGACCCTGTAAGTTAATGAATTATTACCCTTATTTTATGGATTAACAAACTGAAGCCCCCAAAACAAATAATATGCCAGGAACATTGCTGCCTTGTACTTCAGCAACGACGCTGATGTCACCGTTCAGATATCACAACAGCACGATTTCTTGAAGGGTTTTCATAACATGAAATAACAGCAAAGGGAAATCCTCTCCCCCACTACTGATTGTTTTAAGTTAAAATATAATTCCTAATTTAACATATTTTGCTTTCTTGAGGTTGAACAATGTGCATATAAGTTTAGGATCAAACCCAAGGTAGGTGTTTTCATAAGAAATTAACAGATTCAAATGTAAGTCATTATTTGAAAAAATGTTCACCTACCATATATAAGTAGCAAAGATTTTTATAAGACTGTGTGTGCTTAGCTTTTCTGCTTGCACAATTCCGTTACGAGCAGTTGGCCTCGGCTTTTCATTCCCATTCCCATTCGCCTCCATTCAAAAGAGTCATGTGAAAGCAGCGGGAGGGCAGAGTTTGGTTTTAGAAGATGCTTGAGGCCTCCTGGAGCCAGAGCTTTGAAACTGAGGCTGGTGGGGCTCACTTTCTGAGAGAGAGTGAATCTCTAAGGGTCTCTTCCGGTGACATCGATCTCATCCTGTCGGCTTTAAATCTCATCTATGGAAGAAACTGGAAAATTGAATGTTGCCTGATTATAATCAGAAAAGTTTAGAATTGGGAAAGAAGCAACTCTGTCCCACTCTTGACTAAGAGTGTTTACAGTGTCTTTTACAGGAAAAGGTCTTTGGGATTCAGACTGTCAGCTATAGTTAGCTAGGCTTGTCCCTAAACTGAACCTACTGTAGCATCCCCCCAATTCTTTTCTCAGAGGTTCTCAAACCTTCTTACAGTACTCTTCTCTATGGGAGTGATGAGTGATAACAAAGAATTGGTAAAAAAAAAAAAAAAATGCCATTAAAGAGATTAAAGATGGCTGTGGACTGAGTGGAAACTACACTGACACTCTCCTGGGACCAAACTGGAATTACAACTAAAATAGAGGAAAACCATCCTGAATAACCAACTGGAGATGAGCTGAACAGCACCCCCATAACCCAGGAGGAGAAGGGGAGACCACATAGAGACGGGGAGGAAGTGCAGAGGCACGAGAGGGCTGGCTGGGCTCCCACAGGCAGCAGCTGAAGGTCAGGAGGGAGATCTCAGCTGTGGGGGTTCCCACTGAGGACTCTGGGCCTAAACCCCAGGCGGGGCTCCCCAACCCTGGGCACCAGACCTGAGAAAGGTGCCCACATAACATCTGGCTGTGAAAAGCAGCCAGGTGTCTGTCTGCCAGGGAGAGATGGCTGGCACTGGATGGGGCCCAGCAGCGGGAGAGCTTCCCAACCATCTCTCATTTTGGGGGGATGGGAATAAAGATGGGGGTGGTGATCGAGGCATTTTGAGAAGCTAAGCAGGTACATCAACCATCCCAGGACTTCACTAAAGATAACTGGACCCAGCGTGGGAGGACACGGCCCCAAGCACCGATGTCCATGACCTGGCCGCCCTCAGCAAATACTCACCGAGTCCTTGCTCTGAAGCCGACGTTGTGCTGAGCCCTGTGCCTGGGACAGGGCACAAAACCCGACCCAGTCCCGACGCCAGTGGGTGACACCTGTCAAATACCCACACTGCCTTACGAGCTGAAGTGAACATTCTGGGGGACGGGGAGACGAGGGCAGGACTGGGCCTGATCTGGTCGGTGACTTGTTTTTAAACCTAGTCACTGCCCGTAGAAAATCCACGGAGGAAACAGCAGTGATTCCCCAGTGAGCGGTGAGATGCTCTGAGGTCACCGGGCAAGGGAACTTTCCCATCAGGTTGATAAAATGCACAGACAGGAAACCTCATCTGACGTGCCGGGGTCTGGAAGGCAGAGGAGACCCTACCGCGGGGAGCGCGGGCCCGCGGCACTGCGTGGACGGCTGCCTGCCGTGGGCTTTCGACGCCCAACGGCGCATTCTTTTCACACAGGTTTTAACTGGAGTGGGTTCTCGGGGTGGCAGGCACGAGCCCTTGTGCAAACTTGTCCAGTCATTTGCTCTGTGAAGCTTCAGCTATGTTACCAGTGGGAATAGATTCAAATAGTTGTATTTCTGAATCAAAGCGTTAGGTCAACAGCACAGATCCTTAAAGTAAACCACACCCTGACACAGATCCCGCTCGTTTCCAGAAAACAGCACTGACGTGGGAAGCTCGGCTGACAGGCACGAGGCAGAAATGCTGAACCCAGACAGTGTGGGGAAACGACAGGTTTTTATTAAGATAATTTAAATAAAACATTTAAACCGCCTGGGACGACTCCCCCACTTCTCCCTCTCCACGTTGTCTCTGAAGTTGTTACTCTCTGTGATTCCCCTACAGCCTTTTCCTGTTTCACCTCAAACTACCTGAAACACTGCTGTTTGCTGACCGCTCCCTACGCGAGCCGAAACGGGAACGTTTCTAACACTGGAAAGTACTGACTTCCGTACTTTGCATCAAACGTGACCTTTTCTACTTCACAGGTGAGAACCAGAAATCCTCTCATTACAAACTCTTCTAGTTTTCGGCAGCGAGGGAATGAACCCGGAGCCAAAATCAGGACTGTTTTCCACCTGTCGATCTATAAAACTGAAAAGCCATCATCATGCTAGCTGCATACATATAACTAGTGGTTATTTCGTGTTGAATTCAAACACACCTAAGTTAACAGGACAGATCCACAGGGAGATGCTACATGATGAAGTGTAGATTTACATGTGCATTTTTTGCTAAAATTTTAAGCATATCATTGTAAATGAATTTGTTTCCTTCAGTTAATTCAAACCAAAAAAAATTTATGAATGTTACAAAACTAGATGCCATGCCCAGCCGGGCGTGGCTCAGCAGTTGAGCGTCTACCTGGGATCCAGGCGATCGGGGTTCGATTCCCGGTCGGGGCACATGCCCGGGTTGCGGGCTCGATCAGTGGCTCTCTCATCATTGATGTTTCCATCTCTCTCTCTCCCTCTCCTTTCCTCTCTCTGAAATCAATAAAGATATATTTAAAAACAAAAAAACAAAAAACTAGATGCCATATAACATTAAAGTGAGAGAAACTGAATAAATACATTGTTTATTTCCAAGGGTTTTTAAGGTGGTATTTCTTACAAAGTAGAGTCAGACTTTATGGCTCAGCGTTCTCCATGTGCTGGTAGAAACATCTGTGAAAAATCTGTTGTTATTTATGGCAGCAAGTAAACACAAGACAGCCATGAGGGGAAATGGGTCCCACAAAATCTTATGTTCACGATCCAAATCTTTGATATCAAAAGGAAGTTATATCAATTGCAGTAATGTTTAAATTAACAAATACCCGTCTCATGAGACTAATATGAAAATCTGACAAATAACATTTTAAATTGAAACGCTACTTTAAAGAACATTTTTTTTTAAATCCCATCAGTAAAATTAGTGTTCTCCATCCTGGCTGGGAAGCACCGCAGACTTCCGATTTGTTTTAATGCTCCAGTTGCCTCGGGTGACCCCGGGACTTACCCAAATGCTTCCTTAGAGGCTGGGCCTCTGCGCGGGAGGGGAGGCGGGAGGGGTGCTCCCAGGACTCCCGTGGTAATATGAGAGCATAGTCATTGCAGCCTTGACTTGTTTCCTGGAATTAGATTCCTTCTGAATAACGGAGTGTAAGAGCTGACCTCATTAAAAGTACTGCAAGGAAGGCCTGGAGAG